ACAACCTTTTAGAACTGAGATGAAGAGGAAGTTCTTCTGCCAGAGATGTTGATTGTGGAACTCATTGCTACAAGACGCAATGGAGATTAATTAATTGAGTGTAATTAAGAGAGAGTGATAGGTTCTTGAGTGGTAAGAGGATCAAGGGTCATAGCGAGAAGGCAGGAGAATGGGGTTGAGAAAAATATCACCCATGATCAATTGTCGAAGCAGACTTGTTGGGCCAAATGGCCCAATTCTCCTCCTATGTCTTATGATCTTAAAGGTTCCATTGGGGCTAATTCTGGGACTGCAACTGTTTACAACATATTTTAATAACTTGAGGAAGGAGGTGAATACACTGTAACTAAATTTGGAGATAACACAAAAATAGATTTAAAGCAAGAGCTTCTATAACTTTTCCTAGAGGATAGTGAATATTTGGAATTTTCCACCTCAGACAGTTGTGGAAGCTGGATCACAAAAATTATTTGAAGAGGAGGTAAAAACATATTTAAAATAGGAGTTAAGGGCTATGAGAACTGACACGAAACAAGAATTGGAAAGAGTAGCTAAAGTAAGTGTGGGACCCTTGGAGGATGCAGCTTGTGAATGAATAACAGCGAACAGTGAAATGGCAGATAATTTAAACCAATATTTTGCATCAATCGTCATGGACACCATAAACATCCCAAAGATATCAGATAAACAGCATTAATGGAAGAAAGTTTTTTTTAAATTCATTAGTGGGATGTGGGTATCACTGGCTGGCCAGCATTTATTGCCTGTCCCTAGTTGCCCTTAAGAAGGTGGTGGTGAGCTGCCTTCTTGAACTCCTGCATACCTCCTGCTGTGGGTTTGCCTACAATGCCATTAGGGAAAGATTTCCAGGATTTTGACCCAGCTATTATGAAAGAACAGCGATACATTTCCAAGTCAGGATGGTGAGTGGCTTGGAGGAGAACTTTCAGGTGGTGGTGTTCCCATACATCTGCTGCCCTTGTCCTTAGAGTTGGAAGTGGTTGTGAGTTTGGAAGGTGCTGTCTGAGAATCTTCAGTGAATTTCTGCAGTGTATCTTGTGAATAGTAACACTGCTGCTACTGACCTTTGGTAGTGGAGGGAGTGGGTGCTTATGGATGCAGTGCAGTCAAGTGGGCTGCTTTGTTCTGGATGGTGTCAGGCTTCTTGAGTGTTGTTGGGGCTGCACTCATCCAGGCAAGTGGGGAGTATTCCATCACACTGCTGACATGTATTTGTTGGACAGGCTTTGGGGAGTCAGGAGTTGAGTTATTCACTGCAGTTTTCCTAGCCTCTGCCCTGCTCTTGTAGCCACTGTGTTTATGTGATGAGTCCAGTTAAGTTTGATAACTCCCAGGATGTTGATAGTGGGGGATTCAGTGACAGTAACACCATTGAATGTCAAGGGACATTGGTTAGAATGTCTTTTATTGGTGATGGTCATAGCCTGCTGTTTGTTACTTGCCATTTGTCAGCCCAAGCCTGGATATTGTCCAGATCTTGTTGCATTTGAACATGGGCTGCTTCAGCATCTGAGGGGTGATGAATGGTGCTGAACATGTGTAATCATTGGCGAACATCCCCACTTCTAACCTTATGATAGAGGGAAGGTCATTATGAAGCAGCTGAAGATGGTTGGGCCTTGGACATTATCCTGAGGAACTCCTGCAGAGATGTCTTAGAGCTGAGATGACTGGCGTCCAACAACTTGCTATAGGAAATATATTATTAAATCAGAGAGGGTTCAGAAAAGATTTACAAGGATGTCGAGCTGGGAACAGAGGATTTGAGTTATAAGGAGAGGCTGGATAGGCTGGGACATTTTTCCCCTGGAGCATAGGAGGTTAAGAGGTGACCTTATAGAGTTTGTAAAATCATGAGGGGCATAGACAAAGTGAATAGCAAAAATCTTTTGTCTAGTTTTAAACACCCCCACCCTAGAGCGCATATTTTTAAGGTGAGAGGAAAAAGATTTAAAAGGGACCTGAGGGGCAACTTTTTTTTGTCCTTTATTCATTCACAGGATGAGGGCATCGCTGGCTAGGCCAGCATTTATTGTCCAGAGGGCAGTTATGAGTCAACCACATTGCTGTGGGTCTGGATTCACATATAGGCCAGACCAGGTAAGAATGGTTCTTATGTAGAATGAACTGCCAGAGGAGTAGACTCACAACATTTAAAATACATTCAGACAGTACATGAATAGGAAAGGTTTAGAGGGATATGGGCCAAATACAGACAAGTGGCACCAGTTTACTTTCAGAAACTTGGACAAGTTGGACCACAAGGTCTGTTTCCATGCAATATGATTCAATGACTCCATAACCATGACCATATTCCTCTGTATGATACCAACCAATGTAGAGTTTGCCCTTGATATCCAGTTTTCATGTCCACGACTGTCACTCTCACCTCACCTTTGGAATTCATCTCTACTCTCCGTGTTTGAACCAAGGCTGTAATGAGGTCAGGAGCTGAGTGGCCCTGGCGGAACCCAAACTGGGCATCACCGAGCAGGTTATTACTGAGCAGATGCTGCTTGATAGCACTGTTAGTGACACCTTCCATCACTTTACTGATGATCGAGAGTAGACTGATGGGGTGGTAATTGGCTGCGTTGGATTTCTACTGCTTTTTATGTACATGACATACCTGGACAATTTTGCACATTGTTGTCAGTCAGATGCTGTAACAGTCTGTAGTCATACACTTTAGTAGAAAGAATCAAAAGACAGACTATTTAAATATAGAGACACTCCAAAACAAGAGTTGCACTGAGGGATCTGGGCATTCTTGTGCATGAATCATAAAATGTTAACATTCAGGTGCAGCAACTAATTAAGGTTGCAACTGGAATTCTGGCCTTTATTACTCATAGAATCCCTACAGTTGGGAAGCAGGCCATTCGTCCCATCAAGTCCACACCATCCCTTCGAGCATCCTACTCAGACCTATCCTCCAATGGCTAATCCACCTAGCCTGCAGATCCATGCGCACCACAGGCAATTTAGCATGGCCAATCCACATAACCTGCACATTTTTGCAAGGAAACCCATGCAGACACCGGGAGAATGTGCAAACTCTGCACAGCCAGTCACTCCAGCCAGGGTGGAATCGAACCCAGGTCCTGGACATTGTTCAGCATTAGTGCTAACCACTGAGCCACTGTGTCACCAATAGGTGGGTTAGACTTTTAATCCACAAGGGGATGAGGGCAACAATCAGATCAACAATGTTCTTAATAAATGATGGACCAGGCTTGATCACTGAATGACATAGTCCTGTTCCTATTTCTCACAATTACCTTATCTTATAACAGCACAATTTCTCGTCTACAGTAGTAGCAACCAAAAGCAGACTGGATGAGACCTTCTGGAGCACCTGTGCTCTAGTTCACAAAGTGTGGCCCTGAACTTCAGTCACTTGTAACAGACTCCTGACTCAGTTCCACCCTGGCCCCTCTGTCTTTGGTCTCTTATATCATTTTAATAAGAAACAGCATCTCATCTTTCAGTTGGTCACTTGGTAGCCTTCCAGATTCGATGAGTTCAACAATACTAGATGATGACAACCGCTCCTTTTTTCGCACAGCCACTAACAATCATATTGGTGTCACTTACAGTTCTAGCAGATGATTTTTATATTTTGTAACCCATTTTTGTCATATATCATCCTTTCATCATTGAATCTGTCAAAGGATAGTGAATCTTGAGAATTCTCTACTCTAGGGGGGTATGGAGGCTTAGTTATTAGGGAAGTTCAAGACTGAGATGCAGAGATTTCTAGATACTGATGACATGAGGGGATAATGGGATAATATAGGAATATGGCATTCAGGCAGATGATTAACAATGATTTAGAATGGTGGCAGGCATTTGAGGGGCTACTCCTATACTTTCTAGCCTCACACCCTCCCTTGCAGTATTTCCACTATGACCCCTTCCCTTGTACTTGTTTCAAGTCTGTTACATCTTTCACTGACAAAGTCATCAACCCAAATGTCCTCTCCTTGCCCACAGATGGCACCTGACCTATGTCCAGCATAATCTTTTGTCATTTTCTATAGCTCCAGTTAAGAAATGGATAAGAAGCTACATCATACAACCGGATATAAATCAATTGGAGGCAATGGGCAGGAAAATGCAGATGGAGTTTAAGCCGGACAAACGTGCAGTAATGCATTTTGGAAGGTCAACTACGGGTGGAAAGTGTATAGTGAATGGTGGAACCCTTCGGTGTATTGATATGCAGAGGTCTCTGGGTGTGCAGGTCCAGAGATCACGAAAAGTGGCAGGGCAGGTAGATATGGTAGTAAAGAAAGGCCTATGGCACGCTTGCCTTCATTGCAAGGGGCATTGAGTAGAAGGATAGACAAGTTATGCTGCAGCTTTATAGAAGTTTAGTTAGGCCACACTTGGAATATTGTGTATAGTTCTGGTCACCACAGTACCAGAAGGATGTGGATGCTTTGGAGAGGATACAGAAAAGGTTTACCAGTGTGTTGCCTGGTATGGGGGATTTCAGCTATGAAGAAAGGTTGGCTAGAGGGAGTTTGTTTTCACTGGAATGCAGGAGGTTGAGGGGCGAAAGAAGTTTAAAAGATTGTGAATGGCATGGATAGAGTAGAAAGTATGCAGCTTTTTCCCCCAGGGTGGAGGAGTCAATTACTACAGGACACAGGTTCAAGGTGTGAAGGGGCAAGATTAAAAGAGATGTGCAAGGCATGTTTTTCACAAAGGGTGGTGAGTGCCAGAGGAGGTGGTAGAAGCAGATACAACAGCAGCATTCAAGACACACCTAGACAAATACATGAATAAGGAGGGAATAGAGGGATACAGGTCCAGTAAGTGAAGACGAGTTTTAATATGGATGGGCAAAACATGTCAGTGCAGGCTTGGAGGGCTGAAGGACCCGTTCCTGTGCTGTACTGTTCTTTTTTTCATTTTCCCTCAGCCCTACTATACAATTTGTGAATTAGCTCTTTCATCAACAATACAACACAAACCATACAAAAGCATTTATTCACACAGATGTATAAAGTACACAAAATTGCATATCAAGGTACTTCATTTTACAAAAAGGATCTTGAAGAATGGCTGTAAGATCTGGGTGAAAATGTTTAAAGATTATTTTATCAAAAAATATTTGGGGTAATTTTAATATAAGCAATCAAATGGAAAACTGACCAATGGCGAGTAAAATTGGGCAGGATATAAAGCACTAATTAACTCTATTCGCATTTGATGCATTAAGTTAAAATTACTCCCTCCTCCTTTGCATTTACAGGCTTGGGATGAAAGAATTACAGTAGCCATCACACCTCCAAACAGAGCATTTGCTTTTCATAAACCAACAGTTAAGCTGCAAAAATAAACTAGATATGAGTACAAAACTTGTCAGATTCATTTACAAGAGCTTCCAAAATATTCCAAACATTTTAAAATGTTTGGAGTTGTCATCCCTCCTGTCAAAATTACTGTCGTCTCCTACCAAATAAAGTTTCTGTGCGAACTGTTTTCTCTCTTTCCACCTCCCCTATCCGTCATTTCACCCAAGTGACCATTTTTTGTGGGGAATGATGGATACAGACCAAATTCTGATCCCACAGTCACTGGGTTTGCACTGACTTTTCAGTGGGAGCCATTGGTCAGAGGGCCAGAGTAAACGTGAGGCTGGTTTCTTCACTGAGCTGGCCAAGGGAGGTAAAGCCAGGTGGCTGCAGCAACACTGCCCCCAAGTGTTGAGATCAGGAGATGTAATTGGACACTTTCTCCTAAACAGTAAAATAAGTGTGCAGACTGAAAGTGCAAGCATTGTCAAGGGATAATGTAATATTGGGCAGGGCCTTCCAAACTGGTCCAACAAAAACACTGCAAAATGTGATAGAACATCTGGTGAAAGGTATGCACATTTCCCCTATGCATTAAAAAAAATCCCAGAAATATTGATTTTAAAAGCTGAAAAATCAGCAGCATAAGCATGAAATACATGTGCCTATAGTTATGGTCATACCAGAGGTATGATTTTGAACAGAACCAGCTGTAGGGATGGAGGTTCATCTACCCTGTGGTAGACATAATGTACAGTACAGGATCCTAAGACAGAGAGGGGCATTTTTCCCCTGGTCAAAGCAATGACCAAATGAACAAATAAAGCAAATATTTTGCTGCTTTGAGTGAAACACAATTCTAGAATCAGGCTATAATTTGGCAGGGTGTTTGACCACGATGCTAGACTTGTACAGAAAGAATTGCATTTCCGGCAAAAGGTGAAACTGTACAGGGCACAAGACAGAAATCAGAAGAACAAAATAACCCATCCACTGGAGCCAATTAGTCCAGCAAGAGGTAGGTAATTAGTAATTTGGAGTTTATAAAACATAAGAACCAGTTTGTATGATTGGAGATTGATTGGAAATCTTCTGCTAATTCTTGGTGGAGCACTGGTGTCTCTATCAATGATTCCTTTGGACTGAAGAACTGTATATAAAAAGATCTGAGATGCAAGGTTACACCAATTTGGGTCTTTATGCCGACTGAAAATAAAACCTTGTGAAATCCCACCCAGAATGAATTCCGTACAAAACGCATTGAAACTGGAATTTGAGCAGGACCAGCAATGGCTGAAATGCTGTCATTTTTGTTTTCCTTAATCTTGTTTCAGAGGAATTGGGGTTGTCTTCCACGGAATTTTCAAACTTCGTGCTTTCCATCATTGTGTAGATAGACAAGCTCAGGACTAAAAGTTCACATGAGTTCTGATGTCATTAATTTTCCTCACCATTTCAGTAATACGTTCACTCCTGAGAAAGAAAATTAAGACATTAAACAGACCTGAACAGTTAGTTAGTACTAGTCATCATCTTTCAAGAAATAATGAGCCATTTTCTAATCACTCAGACTGCTACTCCGCTTTTTAACAAAGAAAGAGCTCTGCATTTCTGACAGATTTCAATCAGGACTCTTTCAGAAATACAGAGGTATACTACATTCTGAAAGGTTCCTTGTGCTGCAGAATAGTTAGGGGAAGTCAAAACTATGGCCTTCCATTTTTAAACATGAGCTAACCGCTGTATTCTGCAATTTAAAGATCCAACATTACAGACAACCACTTTGACAGCTCCTGTGAAAAGTTAAGTACATAAAGTAAGTGGGCGGCTCAGTGGTTAGCACCGCTGTCTCTCAATGCCAGGGACCCGGGTTCAATTCCACCCTTGGGCGAATGTCTGTTTGGAGTTTGCACATTCTCCCTGTGTCTGCTCCAGTTTCCTCCCACAGTCCAAAGATGTGCAGGTTAGGTGGTTTGGCCATGCCAGATTGCCCATAGTGTCCAAGGATATGTAGGCTGAGTGGATTAGCCATGGGAAATACAGGGTTATGGGAGCGAGTCTATGTGGGATACTTCGCAGACAGTTGGTGTGGACTTATTGGGCTGAATGGCTTGTTTCCACATTGTAGGGATTCTGTGATGATTTTATGAGAAGTTAGGGTGCCTGGATGGCAAGAATGTGAGCCTGGCACTGGTGCAGACGACACTCACCAGTTAAGAATGACTGATGTTATTCTCAACCATGGATAAATTAATCTACAATAACGGTCCCTGTCACGATTGCACTTTTAGCATGCTTCTCAAGGGCATACAAGAGCCTGTGCATTACAAATAATGAGGCATTCAGTACAAGAGCATGTAAATTATGCTAAACCACCAAAAAGAAAAAAAAATACTCGTCATGCCCCAGCTGAAATACTGAGCACAATCAAGGCCAATACTTTTAGGACGAGTGTCAAGTCCTCCACACAGATCCAGAATAGATTTATTCAGATAGCACTGGGGTGTCAGACTTCAACCATGTGGAGTGACTACAAGTTCTCTGAAGAGAAGGTTAAGGAGACATTTAACAGATATTTTATTCTTTCTAAAGGTATTAAGGGCTATGTTGAAGTACAAGGAATTAGGTCACAGGCCAGCTGTTAGCTCATAGGAGCCAAACGGCCTATTTCTGCTCCTATGCTTCCAGGTCCAAAAATCATAAAAAGGATTTGAGAGAGACAATTAGGAGAAACTACTTCCAGTGGTAGAAGCTTTTACAAAGTGAATGATGATTATCTGGAATGCACTGCTTGAAATCTGAAAAATTAGCAGAGTCTGTTAGCTGCAGATACAAGACATGTTTAACAAGCCTAATAGAATGTGAAGAGGTAACAATCATGGGAGATAGCACAGTGTCTACATATTTTACATACATGGGATTCCAGAAGACATTTAGTACGGTTTCACACATTGGACTGCTAATAGTGTTGGGAGCACGTGGAATTGGAGATAATCTTTTGATTTGATAGAGAATTGGTCAGAAGATAGCAGACAGGGATAATATGTATATATTCTAAGTGATGGATGTGACGAGTGATAATCACAGCGATTTGTAATGAGATCTTATCATTTGCCTATAAAACTCTAAGACTAAGACTTGGAAGCTATGCATCCAAGTTTTGCTAAGGACTACAAGTCATATAGATAGAAAAAAATTGTGAAAAGAACATCAAACGATGGAGTGAGTGATCACAACTAAGACAGAAAGAGTTCAATAAGAAAATGCAACATCATCCCCTTCATTCAGGCTTCATTTATTTAGTAATTAAAAGCCCCCCAAAGCCAAAGGACAGCCTACGCACGTGCTCACTTCAAAGGGGATTATTCTGTCACTTAGTCTGTGCAGGGGACTCTCCTTGGTAATATGCAGTATTATATGCTTGTGGTGAGACACAAGCAAAAGAGTTTGTATTGAGGCCCGAGGGGTGGGAGATCGGCTGTACAAGGGCCCTGGATTGTCCAAAACTCTCACCATGGCTTGCCATTTGACAGACTGAGCTTGTCTTAAGAAACCTGTTGGTGACATCTTCTTTTCATTCCTTCTGAAGGTGACTAAGTACTGGGTGGGGTGACATTTGGAAGTTACTTTTTTCTATAACAAGGAAGTGCCTTAAAAGTAGTAAAACATCCCATTGTACCCCATTATTAAAGGAAATTTGGCATCTAGCCACAGAGAAAACAGATGATCTAATAATTGAAGAGCTAGTTTTTTTGGGAAGCAGAGTGGAAAGTTTTAGGGGGAAATTCCAGAACTTGGGGCCTAATTAGCTGAAAGCACAACCGTCAACAATACCACTATTAAAACCGGGGAGTCTCAAGATCACAGAATTGAAGGAGGTATCTCACAGGTTGTAGGACTGGGAAAAATTATAGGGATTGGAGGGACAAGACTACAAAGCATGAAACACTTAGAGCAAGAGGGTACTTTGACTTACTCAATCTAACATTTTTTTTGTAATAATGAAGATTGCCAGTGGTTAGCCTTTTTGTGAAAACTGATTGGCCAACCCAACTGCAAAGCTCACTTGGTATTCAACCTTTGTTGTTGTCAAATGAACAGAATTACAGCAGCAGTTGCAATTTGGGTGGATTTAAGCATTACGTCCCAGGAAATATGTCAAAGGAAAGGAAATAGCGCAGGGTAAATTCAGCAGCACGTTACCAAAGGAGGACGGCCACACTTCTGAAGCAAGATCAGAAAATGTTTAGAGGCTTTTCTCACCACTTGAGCAAAGGTAATTAATAGGTGACCTAATTAAGCTGTTTGCAGTTATGAAGATTTACAGTACGATAGTGACAGATTGTCTCCACTGGTCAGAGAGACAGTATTGCGAACACAAGTTTAAGGCAAATCACAAAGGAAGTCTACATAGGGGACAACTGTAAAAACAACTAGCATGTGGAATTCTCTGGTACAATCTGATGTTGAAACAGAGTTCAATTGTGCATGCAGGAACATTTTTGCATGCAGAGAAAAGTAAAAAGTGCGGTCAATGACAACAGAGTAAAATTAGACTAAGATAGATACTGAATTAAATAGAAACCAAAAGAACTACGGATGCTGTAAGTCAGAAACAAAAAAAACAGAAGTTGCAGTTGGGAAATGAAGTCTTGTTCTTCCAGCTTAGTTGAGCTTTGCTGGAACACTCCACCAAGCCAGAGAACGAGATAACAAGGTGCAGGGCTGGATGAACACAGCAGGCCAAGCAGCATCATAGGAGCAGAGAGGCTGACGTTTCGGGCCTAGACCCTTCATCAGAAAAGGGGGAGGGGAAGGGGGTTTTGAAATAAATAGGGAGAGAGTGGGAGGCGGATAGAAGAGGGATAGAGGAGAGGATAGGTGGAGAGGAAACAAACAGGTCGAAGAGGCGGGGATGGAGCCAGTAAAGGTGAGTGTAGGTAGGGAGTTAGGAAGGGGATAGGTCAGTCCAGGGAGGACGGACAGGTCAAGGGGGCGGGATGAGGTTGGTCGGTAGGAGATGGAGGTGCGGCTTGAGGTGGGAGGAGGGGATAGGTGGGAGGAAGAACAGGTTAGGGAGGCAGGGACGAGCTGGACTGGTTTTGGGATGCGGTAGGGGGAGGGGAGATTTTGAA